ATGCTCCCAAAGTTTGTTTGTGGTATATCGTGTAAATGGAAAATGATAAACGCTCTGATCAGCTGCCCGGTAACCGAGTGGGTGACGTGCTTGCTTTCTGCGTGTGAGGTCCGGGGTTCGATCCTCAGTTGGGCCGATGGATTCGCACTACTGCTGAGACCCAACCGGGTCGAAATAGCTGTCCAGTGCTTCCCAGCTTTTCGGTTCATGCTTCATTGGCTATATCCACAACGAATTTCCCCCTTGTATATATGACTCGCGTTGTGGGCACATTCAGATGCGAACATATAAGCTCTAACTCATTAGCTAACGGGTTGGTTGTTCTTTTCACCGCTTACGAACCAAGTGCATTCGAAAATGCATGATTTGACAGGAAGTTTCACCGTTAATGCTTTAAGGATTGCTGTAACTTTAGACGGTAATATGCTTCCACTTCGGTTGATTGGCTAGTCATTTATGCAGTCCTTTTTCAAGTAAGGAGGAATTTGGAGAGAAAGCACAACAAAGCTAGAGTGCACACCTTTTGCCATGGCATATTTTACTGCATCTCAACTGGTGCAACACGGCAGAAAACTACAGTTTATGTAGTCGAACAGTACATCAGGTTACACACACGAATACAACAGGGTCGAATACTCACACTTTTACCATTACCAAGGTAGTAGCAGTGTGTCTAACAGTTCTTTTTTACACGTACACACACACGGGCCATGTTCTGCCGTATTGTACCAGTTGAGATGCAGTGAAATCTGCCCTAGCATAGATCGTGCAACCCCAACTTTGTTGTTGTGCTCCATCTCTACAAGTTTATCTCGGGAAACAAACAACGAAGTCCTCGGAAACAAAGAATGTTGGACACTACTGTGATTAAAGCGCAAACGTAACCTTTGGACTGGCATGTATGTGGCCTGTGCTGCTGGATTATTGATCTCATTCGCAGTTTCATTGAATTTCATTCTGTGCTGATCAACATCCAGTTTGCACACCCCTTTATCTTCATTTACAGACGTGTTCTCGATTCGTCTCATCGCACAAAATACGCGGTCATGCTCGGCATGCTCGGATCAGCCGCATTGATTTGGTATTTTTGCCTCTCGGGTGCACGTGATGATCGGTAAGGACGTTTCTCGCTGTTATCGCGCTCTACTTTTGAAATCATGAATTCCATAGGATGCCTATCGATACAGGTGTTTTAATTCCGGTCTTGTTTGTCGTAAGTACCCTATGATCCCTCGCGTGCCGTGCCGAGAGTGCCTCGAAAGGAGAACATTGTTCTCTTTATTCACTGTTTTTTGCCCCTCCCCTTACGGCAATGTTTGTGTGATTCACCTTCGAGAAACCGGGGGAGACGAGGATATCGGGGACTGTACCGTCGGCATAGAAGCTTGTGTTTGCTTTCATCGAAACAGAGCGGGCGACAGAGTCGTCACTCATGTCGACTTCAATCGGTGTGGCAAGTCATCCCAACCCCCCGGTGCCACTGGCCACCGGAAGATTGTTGATCGAAGTTTTCCAGTTTTAGTGGAAGACAAAGAGCGGAATGGGAAGCTCATTCACAATATTTGAGCATGGGGCAGATTTGGGCTTTGTACAGAAGAAAGAGGTAGATGGACGGAAAGAAGCACCTGGCACAACTTCTCCCGTGCTGTCATATCCTTCAATATCTCCAACCTACCAGTTGCGGATTCTTTCGGGTCCCATCCTGGAAGGCGCGTGACACCTACTCTACCGGCGTACGAAAGTGCATCGTTAATAGTTGTAACAACTGAACTGAGCTACCTAATAGTTTTGTAAATTTCTTCATACTTCCTCTCCACGTCATCTGTTGACCTCCACATGTTTTCCTCCAACTCGGAGCGGCTACACCGAATAAAGCGTGGTGCATGGTTTGAGAATCAAGGACATATGTAAGATAAATTGAAAGAAGAGAAGTTTTAGAAGCATTGAATGAAACATAATTGTTAGAATCCCATGCGAAGATGAATCCACACTCAGATGCAAGGGATGCACTTGTGACACTGTGATCTTGACCACTATTGGTAGTGATCACGCGGTTGCAGTGTAAGAAAGAAAACAATGGAAGATGGTCCCGGCTTAATACGGAATGAAATTGGAGGTTTTTGGACAGAAGGTTAATAATAGAAGAAAGGGTATGGGCGCGATTGTCGAACCTTGGGGAGTACCGGACCTCACATTGAACGACCGAGAAAAGACCCTATCGGCTCGGATGGAGATAGATCACTGGCTTAGGCAANGAGGACCGAGTTGGATCCGAATATGGTTAACTTTCGCACCAGACCTTCGTACTAAACGCAGTAAAAGGCTTTCGAGATTTCTAGCGAGGCCCAATGAGCTTCTCCGTGGTTGTGGAATACAATTCACCAGGAATGTTGTGCAATAGCCGGTCGGTCGTCCGTGGAACGACGAGGATGGAATCCATATTGATGGTCATTCGGCAAAACCTTCGCGTTCAAGGACCGAACGCAGTTAATCGGAGTTAACTTGAAATTTATCCCAATTATAGAAGTTAAGTTGATGAGACGTTAGTAATTGGGATCAATGGGGTCACCTCGCTTTGGGTTGGGAAAAGTTTTGGTGCCTTCCCAGGCAATGGGCGAAGACCCGAGAGCCAAAGAAGTTACAAATGGCAGGAAACTTCGAAGGGTAGAAATTACGTGAAACCGCTTTAGCGAGCGATCAGAATGGTGGGTTTTTAGTAGCGGATGAGGCGAGACGCTCTACCTTGTGGCGAATAAAGCGTTCTTTGACTCTCTATGTGGTAAGGGAACATTTGTTTCTGGCTTTCTCGATACGTTTGTACGGTGCCAACAACAGGATACTGCGCTTTTGAAACCTATAGCACGGTTGCAAACATCGTTACACAACCAGGGGAATATAAAGATGCGGGCTTTGAAGAACCATCTCAGTGAGGTTTGAAACAGAATTGCAAACATCCAAATTGAACCAACAGTCAGTCCAGGGATAGGTAAAAATGAAAACGAGGTAACCGGTGGATTAGCCAAGGGGAGAGAGGGGAGTGATTTTGGCGAATGAAGAAGGAACGGATGTATGAGTCTGGCCAAGGTTGTGCATGTGGTGACCAGTACGAGCAGGGATGTGTGTCAGGGGCTCGACTAGTTGATTCAGATTGTTGATCACAGCAAAAGCCTTTTGTCTCATAATCAAATTGTCTGAAGTTTGCATTACTTGTTCCTTGTTGTGATCATTTAAAATCTCCGATAATGATAATTAAGATTCTTGGATGTACTGCAATCAAACTACAGTACGAATCAATACACTTTGCTGTAATGCATTATCCCATTTCTTCTTCATACCAAGGATTGAACCGGATCAATCGACCGATCAGACTCACACACCATTGTATCCCGACTTGGATCCGCCTCCGTATGACGACGCTGTACGCGAACGTAAGTACCACAATAATAATGTTGCAAGTTAATTGTTTTGTCCCTCTGTTATTTATGTACGTGATTCATTCATTATATTACTTCCAAGTAAACAGGAGTTGAGGTGAGATACGGTAGTTTAGCCTAGCAGTTGTAATCGGCCGTCTATCCAAATACCTCCACGATAGACCTCGTTTGTTTGGAGGCTTTCTATTGAAGTCGATGAATAAACAACTCTATCCCCTTTTTAATGACGAGGGTAGTAGTGGCGCATCTTTGTTATATGAAGGACTTCTGTTGCAAAGGCTTTAGGAGACGCTC